CACGCGTGACAATCCGTCCCGCGCGTCGCATCTGTGAATTCGCGGCGCGAGCTTCGATATCTCGGACGTCGTTCGATCGTACCGCGATCGCACCGTTAATCTTCCTTTCTTAAGGGATGCATGATAGCGTTAGAAAAAACAAATGCCAGAGAGAGAAGAAGCCCGTACTGCAGTGAGTTTTAACTCGCTATTGGAACACCGTATTTTTACCCGATTGCGATCGTCCGCCGCGCTGCCGCTACTGCTGTTGCGCGCGGACGCGCGATTTCTTCGCGACTCGCGAAGAGAAGAAAGAAAGAGAGAGAGAGCGGCGCGCGCTGACCGGCTTCGACTATCGCTCGCGTGCTCGCTTTATTTAAAACAACGTACGGGGATTCTCTCTCCGCGGGGATTTATTTTCGGTCGCTCGTTCGACGCCTGTGCAGCTGCTGCGCGAAGCGAAGCGAAGCGGGATGAGGCGGTGCGAGGCGGTGCGAGGCGAGGCGAGGCGAGCTATGGTGAAGCCGCGAAACTACCCGCGTGTACAAGACGAGTCACAAAGCTGAAAACGCTGGCACGTTTCTTTCAAAATCGCGTGATTTTGCACAGTGGGGATCGTCTAATAACGGCTTACTACCGCGCCTCGCCTGTCCCATTAATCATGTTATTACGTTGTTATTGTACCATTAATTCAACCGCATGTAGTTTCATATTTTTATTTTTGGAAACGAAGGCGTAAATAAAATGACGGTTGCGAAATAACGTCAGAATTGAGGCTACCTGACGTTATGATTTGACAAAAGTGACGCTGGCTAACAATAAGCTGTTCTCGTTTCCCTCTCTACGCGTCATTGTTGCTTGAAACCCCTACGTTTACTGCTGTCGATCAAAAATTGATATAAAAAATTGTCCAGAAACATATTCCATTTAACTCGTTGTTCTATTTAAGAATGAGAGAAGGTGGCAGACGAATGTACGCATAGATACATAACATTGGTTGCACCCCAGTTGTTGCGTTCTACTTTGCTCCACCGCCCATTTCATTTCTCTTTCCGGACGGAAAAGCTTTCTTTTTGTGGATTACAGACACGTCCGAAAACGACACATTTTAATTTACCGAACGGAACTGAGAGAACTTCAAAACTAAAGACGATACAAATTTTCCATTTTATACACACTAACGTCTAGTTTGTGGTATTTCTCTTCTACTGGATCTTTGTGCCAATTTTTCTGCTCTCTTTCTTCACGCACTATTTGATCTTCTTTTATTCCGTTCATTGTCCTGGTCTAAAAGCATTGTCTATGCTATTTCTATATTCTTGTTTCTCCCTCCCTCCCCCCGCTTTTCTCTCTCTTCTCTCTCTTTCTCTCTCTTTATTCATACATACACTGCTTCATTGCGTTCTTGTAAATTTTTCTGTACATTATTCACTATTATAATTATTTTGTAAAAGGTTACAGCGCTTGAGGGGACCTAGTCCCAAAGGTATCGATTTTTCTTTCTGTCGTTGCCGTCAATAATTCTATTTTAGTCTTTGTAGTACGTAACAATATTTCATATTCTGAGAATTTATATCGAGCATTTCCATTGTAGTATCAGGTAACCGTGTAATTGTATATCGCCGCGTGAACGTAAGATTTGTAAATAACGCGGGAACCTGTAACGCGACCGAAATAGTTCGCGCGTAAGAAAGTTTAGATTTCCTTGAAACATACCGCGAAACGCAGATCGCCGTATATCCGTGCTGAACTATCCGCTGACGTCGCTATTCAAATAAACGCTTGAACGTCTATGCGAATAATGGCAGCGCTAACGCAAACACGTCGACGACTTAGTGAGCGACGCCGATTGGTTCCGACAAGCGCGACGGAGTAAACACGCCGTGAACGCAATGCGTGAGTTTGTGCGCAATTTCTTTAAAATTAATAGAATTTCTATTTTAACTGGTGCGAGATGTCCTAGAAACACTCAATTTAATTTCAAATGAAAAATTTCCTAACTTTAAATCCAGGACAGTGATCATATAATTTTTTCCTAGTGAAAAGATGTGAAAAGTGAAAATTATCATCGAATGTAATGGAGAAATTTTTCGCTTTTCACGTTTCTGCCCTAAGAAAAAATTACATGACCGCTATCTAGATGATAAAAGTAAATTAATTTTTATATATATACTAATTATTGCGAAGAATATCACTAAGCCTTCGGTGGTTTAAAAGTTTAGGACGCTCGCAAGAAATGCAAGAGAGCCGATTCTCAGCCGAGATAATGTTTTTTGCAATAAATTGTTTACAGATTTTAATATGTTCATCAGTATTATTAAGATCTTTCTAAGATGCCTATGAGCATCAAATTATTAAATTACTTGATAATTTAATTTGTGATAGTACTACAGTAGTTATTGTCGGTATAGCGTTTCAAGACCGAAAAATCAATTTGACGCGGTTTGACAGAATTTGATACGTAGCATATAAATTCACACCGAATTATTTAAGCACCAAAGATCCAGCTTTAACCAGTATGGGCTTTATTTCCTATTGGTTGTGTATTCACATAAACGTCATAAACGAATAAGATTCTTATTGTTTATAAATTAATTTTTTTTTAACTGAAAAGTCAAGCCTGAAGTTAACAGAAACTAAAGTCGGTATTCATAGTTAACTTTTTTTTTATTTAAGGCCATTTTAATTATTGATTATAATGATAAACCAATCACAAAGCCGTATTAGCATCTTAAAGACGTTTTGAGAATCCTTTTGATATAAGGACGAATTGTGAATTCTGACTTAAATTTTCGAAAACGCGACAAGTTGTCTTTCTTAAATTCAGTGCGCAGTTTACAGGACTAGACATATCACACGAATTATTTAGTACACACTAAAGATCCAGCATGACCGTTTACGACTTTTATTTTCTAGTTGTCCTTAAGTAATTAATACTAGTAAGTTTAAATAAAATTGTTTTGTTTATCTAGATTCAGCGTGCGCGCTTTAATCCTTCTTCCAAGTTTAATTATACCGAGATATCTAATGTTGGAAAGAGGTAACAAAAACACGATGGCACGAGATCAAATTTTCAGATTCTCAGAAACCAAAGAATACGCTTCGAATTCTAACGCACTTTCAGCGATACATTTTGCTACAATGTATCTCGTTCCCTCTAAATGAATTATAAACATATAACATTTAAGAACAATTTTTTAATTTTTAAATTTCATGTATTAAAAGTTCATGATATAATTTTTCTTAAACCAATATTATAACACGTTATAGTGATGTTACTGTTTGCATAATTTTTGAATTAATTACTATTTAATTACTTAATATTTTTATATCTGACTTAAGTCATGTTGCATCTCGTAATATTTGACGTTAAATAATTTTCTCGCATAAAATTTTCTCAATTTCAAGATGACTATAAAATTACTTCTTAATGTTACTTGATAAGTAGATCGAAGTACGCATCACACCAACGTTACCAACCTGAGGCCGACGTTTCTTCTTTTTGCGTCTCTTCGCAACTTGGCGTCTCTCTTGCTCCTGTTTCTTTAATTTTTTCTCCTTCTTGTTCCTTTATTTCTTCTCGTTCCTTCTCCTTAACTTCCTCTTGTTCCTTGTCGTTAACTTCCTCTCGTTCCGCCTCTGTTTCCTTCGTAAATGATTTTTCTGATAACTCTGAGTTATCCGATTCCTCTATCTTGCTTGCTACCTCATGGTTGACTTCCGTTGTTTCCGTGGTTTCATCTTGTGTATCATCCTGCTCTGAAGCGTCCTGCGAATCTGCAAAAGCGAATTAAAGATAATAAATGTTTAGCAATACAAGCGCATGTACGTTAATCGAAAAGAGAACAGAAGCGATCATCCGCAATGAAAGACGTTTCTTTTGATGAATGATTGCAACGGAGCTTAAAAGATTAAAATTCTCGATGCGTTAGTCGAAATTTTAAATGAAATTTTATATGTCATGGCAAAGAATGTTTTAATATTCAACAATATGTTCATATTTTTGAAAAATTCACATACAATTTCTATATAACTTTAAAGACTGAAAGTTACATAAAATAAAATGCAACGATCTCTCATTAAGTTTTTTTTCATAAATATTCTTATAATTTAATCTTTAAAACATCGTGTTTGAAAAAAGAAATTGTAAAGTGACTGGATAAAAATATATTGAACTTAAGTGTTTTATAATCTCAGTCGACAAGAAAAGAATAAATATATGAATCTTATTATTTTCGGCCAATTTCGTATAGGATAGGCAGAGTTTTATAAAGATCGATGACGTAGCTCGGCGAACGCTTCTTGTTAATAAACATCAGTGCAGTGGCGAACACAGCGGCATTATATATCACGGAAATGCGACAGGATGTAAACTGTTTGCACCCCAAAGGCAGTAGACAGAGGTACGTTTTGATTGTGCGAGCGAATGCGGAATCCAGAATCTTTGGTTAATATACGTTCTGCATTCCGTTACACATTATATTGATCATATTGAACATTACATTTTTGCACGCATACGCTGAATTATTCTCGTTCCCGTGACTTCCTCCACTGACACTCGTTTATCTATCTACGATGATACTCAAGCAACATGGTCGTGACAGAGCTCGTAAAGAGGCCCTCACCTTCTATATCCGACATTTCAGCACACTGCACCGACTGGACGCCTAGAAAAGTAAACACAGCTATTAGGAAACAATAATATTTGCAATTTCATTTTCTTCCTACTAATATCAAAGTAAAAAGTTTATCACGAGTCGCTGTTTTATTTAAAAATCTTGGAGCAACAAAATTTTTTATTTTTCTAATTTTCAATTCTAATAAAAGAAGATCTCATGGTTTCAAAAAAATTATGAAACTTTGACAATACATAGATGATGTTCTAATATACGTATAATAATACTTTTTTTTGCTGTTCAAATTTACCGTAAAGAGGTAAAATAAACCCATAAAATTTTTCGACCTGTTTTCCGTTTTCGTTTTATTACTCACCAAGAAAAGAAAATAACAGAACGAAATTGATCGAGAAAACATATTTCTTCCAATGAAATTTATCAATTAGAAAACTTAACAATTATTTAAAGAATTATTTTAAAAATGTGTAAACTTAATTAGAAGGAATATATTCTTAATATTCTTATATTTTTAACATGATTTATATTACCAAAGTTTCATAATTTTTTAAATTTTCGAGTTGTGGATCTTCAGTAAGTTTGATTAGTATAGTCTACAAAATTATTTGGATACTTATGTAAAGCGATATATGAGTTGTGTATGTGTGTGTGTGTATGTTGCCCTATGAAATTGTAATTTCATCTATATTGTTTTTTATATTACCAAAATTTATTAAGTATGCTATGTGTCGTCAACATATTTTGATGAATGTGTTTATGTACTCTTTTGATTGATAAATTTACGATAAAAACATAAGGCGATTTTGTGAGGTTTAATTCACAGGTATAATCACATATTACAATTAATCCGATGTCATATCAGATATGCGATACGACGGGAATCGCAAGCGGATTAAAGTCTGGCTGATCACGTGGCACGCGAATCAAACTCCTACCTTCTTCTTCGCGACGTTCCCAGATTTATTCTAGATTGTTCCCAGATTGAAAGACTTGCTTGTTATCAAGAATAACAGAAGCGGAAGAGTGAAGTAGAGACGGTAGTGCACACACATGGTATACTGTTCTTTCTAACGAGACATCGTCGTCGGCACTTTGAGGGCCGTTTCGCGCTAAAATAGCTCTGACCTCTTTTTCGTACGTTCGGAAATTAGGAAGAAGCGGGCTAGACAGCGCGCTGATTTGCACGCGGGACGACCATGATAGGTAGGCGGTAGTGGCGAACGCGGTGTATGCCACGAGGTCGCACTTTATAAATAGGTGAGTTGCAGCGTGTAGGTAGACGTCTCCGAATGCTACCGCGAGGAAGTGCTCGCGTTTCGTTCGTCACAGAGATTCCTCATCGAGATTACCACGCGATTTCGCGCAAACTTTCCGTTTAACAATGAATGGGATCGCCAATCGATCGAATGAAAGAATTGAGATTTTAACAAAAAGAACTTCATTCATCTTTTTTTCTTTCCACATGGCGGTTTACTTTATCAATTCTTGAGTAGGAGCAGTGGCGACCTGTAGAAATGATTAAAAATAACTCAAATTGTAGGTATAGTTTGACATTATGAATTTAACAGCGAACGCTCTTTCTTTTCTCTATCAGATTAATTTTCTTGAATTTTGGAAAAAGGATGTGGGAACAGATTACTGATTGAACCGAATTTTTTCACTTGCTTTAACAAAATGATTTCACAAAACCGATAGAAATAGAATAAACGAATATTCAACCCAGTGAGGAATAACTATTAATTCGACATTGATTCGATGTCGAATTGATAATTTTGACGTTGATTTGACGTCGATTCAACATCAAATGACGATCATTTCTTATTTAGAGAAAGGACACTATAAAATTTTTTAATTTTGACCTTTAGACCGTCGGAAAACCGATATCGGCTCGTTTTAATTTCATGATATAGTTAGCCTGAAACGCTATATTTGAGTTCAATTATACCATTCTGAGTATAACTATCAGTAAAACTAAAAAATAAAAAAAAAATAAAAAAATAAGAAATATAAAAAAAACTAAAAAAAATAAAAAAGAAAAGAAGCTATTCAAACTCTCTACGTTCACGTCATTAGCTCTGGATAAAGCCGAAGGAGAGTTCTACTCAAGATTTATTTTGGAGCTGTTTTACATGCAATAATGGCTTCAGCATTTAAAATTATCGTTTTCTGACCTCACCACAGTATTTAGCGACCTCAAAAACAATTATATACGCATTATTTACAAATTAAAAAAATTTTTATTTTTTCCATAACCTTCCCCGTCGGAAAGCCGTGATGGAAACATTGTATAGGATGTATCCTTGATACAAACACATGTTTTTGTTACTTTTCAATGAGGTTTTGATAACCTTTAATGCCGGCGGTCTAAAGGTTAAATATATTTTTAGATGTTTTTAAAATTTTCTTTTTAATTAGAATACCAAGTTAAGTAGCAATTTATTTCCTTACATTTGCATATTACCTTTCTAACAAATAAGTAATTTGCTGTTTGATTTGATACCTCAAATCAGCTTCTTTTATACAATCGTTTATTATATACAATATATAAATTGCGCGTGTTTAATTTCAAATCAATTTCACATCTCTGTGTTTGATCCGCTTTCCTTTCGATCCTGTTTGTCGTTACTAAACGTTCCGATCGCGCAGCGGTGACTTTTAATAAATGATTCTATGTGGCAACACGCCAAAGATCACTTTACCATCCTGTTACTTAAAGCTTGCCGACTCACGATGACGGCCTCGTCGAATTTTCGCTTCGTCGACGGTCACGTATTTTCGGATACAGGAATGCAGTTTCCGTAGACCCCGTTCCCGTTTTGGACTTGGTGAAATTGCCACTTTATGAACACCGCAAAAAATCGGAATCCAAAGAAAATGTAATATTTTAAAATTTTAGAGAGAGAGAGAGAGAGAGAGAGAGAGAGAGAGAGAGAGTAACGCAAAGTACTAACTAAATCCGTTTTAATTGCGCATTCAGAAATTTTGATATAATGTAAACGTAATTATAAATGTAATAACTACGTTATTAGAACATAACATTAAATTTAATCCTTAACTGCTCTTTTCTTTCTTTTTACATTAAAAATAAGAAACAATAATTAAAACTAATCTAAATTTTATAATAAATATCTTTTTATGAAAGAAAATGTATAAAGAAATTTTAGTGTGTTTTGTGTGTATGCCAGAAGCGGCGACGCATTTGAAATAAAAATAACGTTTATGAACAACATCCTGTTTGCTTGCAACAAAAACTTTTGAACTGCTTTTGAACGTTTCTCATAATTAGTTCTTATCAAATCCGGCGCATTTAAAAAAAATGGGTATTTTAATAATTATTTCAATAAATTATTTCTTCTTCGTAACTAACATAATTCTATGGTTAATTCTTTCAAAATTCACGAATATGTATATTACTACTACTAATTTTTCTAAAAGATTGACACTGAAAATAATATAATTAAAATTAATCTGCATCATAGATATATACATATATATATCAAATATATCAGTCAAAAAAACTTTCTCTATACATACTACCACATAGTCTAATATTATTTTTTTGTTTAACATCCAAAAGAATTCAATAATCATTTAATTTTTATCTCTATTTGTCTTTACTATACAGATTTATACGTATCAACATTCTAATTTTATATAACATTAATCTTAACGAAGGTCAAATATAAGATTTTTCGTTTTAATCATCATAAAGACACCGAATACTGTATTCTGAAAAAATGTATCAGTAATTATACATATTATATATTGAGAATTCAGAATTAATTACCGATTTTAATAACAAAATACAGCCCAAATGTCGCACCTGACTAATTTGCTCGATTGAATAAAAACTGGACTAGTATTTCGGAAGGGTTACGAATTCGTGGAAGATGCCGAGATCTCCGAAGAAGGACGGATATGAAAGGGCTGATTTTACCTTTATGGATCGGAGGACCAACGTCGGGTGGCAGTAGGAGGCCCAAGCCTTTGGGAGACTGCAGCGAGCAGCGGTTTCGCTACCACCGAACTCTCGCCGTTCCGGTAGTTATTGCTGGCGGCGGTGGTGGTGACCGTCGACGCTGGATGATGCTCCACTATCAACGCCGCCGTTAAAAGCATAGCGTCACCGGGCCCGAAATTAGACGGCCCGAAATAGCGGAATTATTGGCGGAGGTATAGCATAGCCGGCTTGGACACGGCATACCGCGGTACCCGGCCTCGGAGAACGAGCGGAATACGGTTCGATGTGCTTCCGCTACCGGAATAATGCGACTCAATAATGCGATTCGATACGACGCTCGTTCATTTGACATCGACAAATCGGAGGACATCGCGATGTGCTAAACGTTCTCTTGTGCACCGAAAAAAGTGGAAGTGACGATGTTATTCAAGAAAAAAAGATCTTGTGTCAGATTGAAACGGTTTAGGCGCGATGAGGAAATCGTAACTGTTATCTTTGATTAGATTCGAGCGATTCGTTGTGTATTAAATGTTGATTGATTGTATATTGACGCAATAAATTTTGAATTAATTGTAATAAATTGAATCAGGACTCTTTGTAATAGAAGTAGTTATAGTGTGTGATTTCGAATAAATAAAAGATTATAAATATACATATACTTATTTTATAGGATTATAAAACAAGATTTTAATATTTTTGAAATTTTCAATTATTTAATTTTTTATTTTATTTAAAATAACAGATTATAGAATTGGATTATTTTCAAAATTATTGTGACGAAATTGCAATATATTATCTTCCAATTAAATTATTATAGTATAATTAATATTCATATATATATGTATAAATCATTTTTTCATACATTATTTTAATTATTTCACTTTTTACTTAATATTCAAATACAAAAATAAAAGTCATTGAATAATTTTATGATCAATTGTGAGAAAACACTTTATTTGCTGGAAATTCAATCATTTCTTTTTTAGCAGATATTTTTCTAAATTACATAGTGAATTTATTATGCCAAATAAAAATAAAATAATATTTATTTATTTATGTATTAAGGTAAAGTTTGCAGTGTTAGCTTTGTCTCTTATAATTAACCTTTTGTAAATCAGTTAAGATTTCTTAATAGACCTGTAGTTCTATTTTCACGACTGTAAACCGAGTCATCAACTCGCGGAGTATTTAAATGGCAGTCCGAATTGTCCTAGCTGCTCTCTCTATTCGGGATTTGGGAATATTTCGGGAACATTGGAAGCTCGTTCGTTCGCCACGTTGTGAACCGAAAGTTGTCTCGTTTGCCGGCATCGATGTCACCCGCATGCCATCCCGCGTGCCACGCGATTCGTGAACTCTCGCACATCGTCATTACGTGTCATCATACGAAATTGCTAATAGTTAATTCATTGAATCATTGAATAATAAAAAAGAAGAGCATAGAGAGCAGAGATATTGATGTACCCCGTTTAACTTTAAATCAATTGTTAATTTGTATGTGCACAACTATAAATAAAGAGAAATGATTATCGTTTATATTAAACTTTAAGAACGTAAACATATCTGCAATGTCATATTGTCTAATTAATTTCGAGTGTGATCAATTCTAATAAAATTTTAATTATATATATATATATATATA